CAATTGCCAGCATCATCCCCTGCACCATGAAGAATTCATCCACTTCCCACCGACCCACTCACTCGCTGAATGTTGGGATATGAGCCAGGACACCGGCCGCTGCCATATTGATGTACCTCCGTGTTGGATCTTTATCCGTCTCCATCTTTAGCTGTAGTCCCACTCATGTCCTTCCTTCGGGCAGGGTTTGTCCACCCATGTCACTCCTGCATCCGCTGATCATTGTCCTTGTGCCTGCCGACCGCCAATCTTCCGTGGTCGTTGCTGCGCCTTACGTGGTGTGGAGTCCCGTTTCCATTTTGCGCAGCGGGCGGTTAGGAAGGTGGGGGGCGGGGGAGGTGTGGGGCAAAGAAGGAGGGCATAAGCGGTGTGGCGAAGAGACTACGATGGCAGTGATGGCAGCGAAGCAGGTGGCGCGGGTGATGGGAGGAGGACAAAGTTGGGCTGGAGGTACGGGACTTGGACGTCAGAGAAGGGTCTCCTTTGCCATTTGGGTTTCGTGGTCTTCCATGGTTTCCATGTGATGTTCGAAGAGGCGTCCAACGCGAAGAATATTCTATTGGGATCTTGCCAGATCTGTACGTACGAGTCTTGGATTGCTTGCCTAGCGAGGGGATCTTTCTCCTCCAGCAGGTCCCTTTTCATCGACTTCCATGCTTCCCGGGTCCTGGTCCTAATTTGTTATTCAATGGCTTGTTCTGCCTGCTGGAAGCCAAATTGGTGCTCATTCCTTTCAAAGGAACAACGGGCTCTCCAAGCCATCACGAGGACGAGCAACCGAGTGCACGAGAACAAGTTGGTTGCATATGGGGACCAGTGGGCCTGCAGATGGCAGTTGTTTCCGAGGAGCAGAAGGCCAAGATCCCAGGGGATATGGTGGTCTGTGAGAGAATGGAAAGCAACATCCCACCACTGCCATAGTTGGGTGACCATCGGACATGCCAGCAGGCAGTGTTCAAGGGTCGCACGGGCCGGCATCCGAGTCCTCGTGCAATATGCACAGATGGGAGACAACTCGCCTTTCTGTTCGAGCTGTGTTCTGGAGACAAGCCAGTCAGGAGTGGGGAGGCATCGGTGCAGAATCTGCCACTACAGCGACCTATGGTTCGTCGACATGATCTTCGCAACTTTAGACCAGGCGAAGGATTGTGACAGGTTTGGTTCCAACGACGAGTCTCGCGCCCATCTATTCACTAATGTGTTGTTGATTTCCTGGTCTTGTCGCGATGCTCTATATCCCCCTTTGATTGTGTAATCCCATATGTGCATAGGCCGAGGGCCAGGCCACTCCCACATGGCCGGATCAAAGGGGAGTCTGGCAACTGGCGTTGTTGGCTGAAATGTGTAGAGGTCATTTTGTGGATCTCCTACCGCCCTGACTTGCATCTGCCCTGCCCAGCCGTGTGTTGTGTCTAGGTCTTCGTTCTTTGTCAGTTTGGAGAACTTCGCCCCGGGCAACTGGGGCTCGTATGCTTCCAGCACACAAACCTCGCTTCTCTTATTCGTGACTTTAAAGACAACCAAGGGGCGAGGAAGATCTGCGTATCTAACCACCCAGTCGTCTTTTTCCACCGTCGGGCCTTCTGTAGGGTGAGGCGCCAAGCAAGAGGGAGGGCTTCTTTTAGCAGACCCGCTTTTTCTTCAATCTGTTTTGTATGTCCGAGTTTGTTGTGCAGTTGGGTGGGGGTTGCCCAATCCCCGTTGCCCGGGTCCCACAAGTCCCCTACTGTAAAAACTCCCTTCTTGGCCTAGGTGAGCCATGGAGAGTTCTTTGTCAGGGAAAAGGGGTCGCCTGTTTCTTGGAGGATATGCGGGTTACCAAAGAGAGGTTGCCTCCATATGTCGTGCCATCTACTGGGGGGGCGTTTTTGTTGTGGCCCTCTTTGCCTCCTGAGCTTGAGCATGTTGGGCCAGAGTGGATCCACCATCATGTCCTGCTTTGTAGCGTGTATCGGGTTCGCTGGCTGTGTTTTTTTGGGGGGCAATGGAACAGTCGAGTGGCTGTTTGTGAGCCACTGGAGCAGGTGCACCGTTCTCGCCTGCGTTTGCGGGGCTAGAATGGCTATTTGCAGGCAGGCCAACTGTTCCCACGGGATGTCTTTCCCTATTAGCAGCCTGACTAGGACCTTAAACATGAGCACCTCACTTTCTCTCTCCGGGTCCAAGATCCCCACCCCCCCTTTAGCCCTAGGTTGTGTTAGCACATCCCATTTCACCCTGTTGAGACAAAATTGAGATTTTGCATTGTTTTTCCAGAGGTATATTCTAAGCGCTTCCTTTAGTCTGGCGCGTTGTCGCTTGTTCAGGGGCCATACTGCTAATTTGTACGAGATGGTCGCCAGGATGGCACTGTTGATGGCCAACGCACGTCCCACCAGTGAGGTGTGCAGAGTCTGCAGACCCTCCCATTTGGCCAATCGGTCCACTGCCACATCAACCAGCAAATCTTCGTGGTCTGGGGAGGGGGCCACCACAGTCAGTCTCACACCTATGATCCGGATGGCTTCTTCTTTACGGGCCCAAGAGACCTTCGGTTCAGGGGGGGGGGGGCTCTCCTTGAGGGTGGAGCCACCAACCCTCTGTCTTGGAACCCCAGTTGACCTTCATGTCTGCCGCTAGTGAGAAGAGATGTATGGGTGAGGGCATGGAGGCTGGACGGGTCCGCCTGTATGAGTACAGGGAGGTCATCTGCGAAGAGCAAGGTCATAGGTATGAGGTGTTGGGGTATCTCTGGAATAGGCACTTTACTAATTTGAGGGCGGGCGCGAATCATGGATGCCAGAGCCTCCATGACTATGACAAACAACAATAGTGCAATGGGGTCTCCTTGACGGACTGACCTGTGAAGGTGGATCGGTGAAGAGAGGTGACCATTGAGCATTATGTTAGTTGTAGCCGATTTATGCAGCCGGTGAACCCATTGACAAAAGGCCGGACCAAAGTTCATCCTAGCAAAGCACATGTCAAGGAAGTCCCAATTGACATGATCGTACACCTTCTCAAAGTCTATGAAGAGGATCGCCGCTTGGGCTTCCCTCTGGCGGGCGTGCTTGATAGTTTCATTGACTAGGAGGATATTGTCTTGGGTGTTGAGGTTGGGCATGAATCCTGTTTGGTCCTGGTCAATCAACATGTTCATCAGAGGCAGAAATCGGTTAGTAAGAACCTTGGCCACCAGTTTGTAGGGAACCGGGAGAAGGGTAATAGGTCTGTAGTTCCTTATGTTCTCCTTGTCCCCTTTCTTATAGAGGAGGGTTGTGACCCCCTGCCCAATCATCGCCCCGAAGGAACCGTCGTTTTGTATGGCATGTATATATTCCATCATGTCATAGCAACGAAGGTCCCAAAACTGTACCTAAAATTCTTTAGGGAAGGAGTCGATTCCAGGGTTCTTCTCATCTTCCATTCCTTGCAGGGCCTTGACCATACCTCCTCATGGTTAATGGGCTTGTCCAAGTCGTCCCTTTGACCTTGTGTCAGGCGAGGGCGGATGGACTGCAACAACGTCTCTCTCGCTTGGTGGACCTCGTCTGGGTGCTTGTTGGACGTCTCAGACGTAAAGAGGTTTTTATAATATTTAGATGCATAGTCCACAATTTTATAAGCATTAGTTGCCTGCGGGGCGTTGTTGTCCAGCGGGTGATTGAGTATGGGAACAATGGTTGCCCTCGATCTTGCTCTAGCCTTATTGAAAAAGGCCTTCGCCATTGTTCCATCCGTGTGTTTTTTCTTGATCTTGACCTGCATTCTCCATACATGTGCCTATTGGTCAAGATACGCCTGGAGATGGTCACGGGCTTCTTGTAGTCTATCGTAGGTGGGGCGGTGTAGGGGGTCTTTCATCAGCTCATCGTCCTATTCTTCGAGGTCCCGCATGAGTCTCTTCAGGCAGGCTTTTCGATCTCTGGCATGCTGTATGGAGAATTTTTTTGCTCTCTCCCTCAGTTGGGCCAGACCCTTGTTGAACCAATCTACTCTCTCACCCAATTCGGGTTTCTGGTTTGCCAAAATTCCCGAAAGTTTTTAATGAGGGTTTTGAATTTAGAGAGGGAGAGCAAAGAGGCATTGAATTTGTAGAACGACCCTCGTTTGATATGATTGTAGAAAGAGAGTCCCGGTGTTATCATCCTGTGGTCGAAGGACTTACACAGACTGATTGTTGTGATCTCTATCGTGGTGACGAGGCCCATCAAGTCTTTGGACACCAGTATAAGATCAATTCATGAATTGGCCAGGCCCTGCTCACCCCTGGATGATAGACAAGTGTAAGCCTTTTGGGCAGGGTGCAACAACCGGTAAGCGTCCTCAAGTTGTCTATCTGCCATAATCAGTCTGAGGACGAGGACATCCGGGCCCGGGGAGACTGTTGATGGGGTCACCAGATCCCGACCTCGGGATGTGGATCTACGGTCCAGCACTGGGTCGAGTGCGGTATTCAAATCACCGGCGAGTATGATGGGGGCGTCGTTCGGCAGTTGTTGGTGAAGGGTCAACCAAAGGTCCACCCTGGATGAGGGGTCATTAGGCGCATACACGCTCACCAGGTTGAACTCGTCTTCGTCATACTGCAGCTTCAGGGAGACCCATCTACCATGCAGTTTGTCACTGTCGACAGTGAGTGGTTTGAGTTTCGAAGACGGAGGTATCCAAATGGCTACACCCGCCGATGCTCTATCTCTTGTTGGTGCAGCAAAGGACGTGTATGACCAGATGGCTTTGGCTTTTGTTGTGTGCGTCAATATGTCTTGTATACAAATTGTGTCAGGCCATGATCTGTTGTCCGGGCCTTTGAGCATGTCCCAGATAGCGTTTTTTTTCTCCGACGTGGCCTGTATGAGCCCATTGACATTCAGTGAGCGGATGTCTATGTCTGCGCGAGACAGTTTTTCTGCCCATTGGGGCCGCCTCCTGATCGGGGGGGAAACGAGGGGATGGGGGGGGCATTGAGGGGGTTGGGGGGGGTGGAGGTGTACGGGTGTCTGTGGGGGGTTGCTGGACGTGGCCGATATTGTTGTGCAGATGGGTGAGGGGCAGGTAAGTGGTTGTTGTTCATGGTCTGAAGCCCATGCATATCAACGGGCTGTGGTGAGAGCGTTTGGTGCTGGTGGTTCATCAGGCTGGTCCTGGGCTAAACTTATGTGTATCTGTGTTCATGCCATGTTGACAGTTTCGTATGCGTCAGTCCCCTGGCTGCCCACAATCAATTCAATCTATGTGCTTTATTGGGAGCACAAATGGTGGGTCATCCCAACAGTTGTGATCTTCTAACACATTATCCTCCATAAAGATCTGCATGAAGAGGAGCACCCAGTGTAGCGTTCATGCGAAGTTATTCCTGAATCGGTCGGTGGACAGGTCCATGAGCTCCTGATGAGTGAACCAAGTGTAGGCGGACTGTGCGCTTGGAGGCTTCGCAACCGGCTTCATCAGCAGTATGACAGGAATGACACCTTCCAGGACGGATAGCGACTATGGCAATACGGCTCCCAGAACCCCCTCCGCTTGCGTCTCTCGACGCCAGTATTTGAGTCATTTGAGGATCACAATTGTGGAAGGGTTCCCCCTCCAGCCTTCCACAGTGAGGGCGTTCGGGTCCAGTGGTTGATGTGAGGGGCGATCACGGGGGGGTCTGAGGCCCAACATCCACTGTCCTCCTTCGTTCTGTCTGGCTAGGGGGAAGATTATGACACCATGCGGTACTTGCACCGGGGAATCGCCGTCATGTTGGAGTCTGACCCGGTCCCGTAGTTTCCCGGGAGAAGGGTCATTCAGCACCTCGTCATCTGAATGCATTGTTGTGTTGTCGTCATCGTCATGCAGTATTTCAGTTTTGTGAGCACGACGACTCCGGTGATCGGGTACCGTGGGGGCTGCCATGGCTGTTGTGTGTGTGACCCGTTCTTCAGGGTGTTGCGGCTCCGCCTCCCATGTGAGGCGCTGGTTCTGCTGTTGTTCTAGTTGGGTGGGCACAACGGGATTGGGTGGACCATACAAGGTAGTGCAGAGTTCCTGGACCAGGAGCTTAGGCCATGACAGTCCCTCATAGAGGAAAGCATCTTCTTGGGGGGGCGGTTGGTCTGAGCTTAGTATTGGCTGTTTCGAGTTGAAAGCATTGTTTGCATACTGCTCGATTTTGTCCAGGAACTCATTAACCACCAGGACTATAGCTGCTCCAACTTCCATCCAGTCAATCGATAATATATATTTGTATTTTTCCACAGTGGCCAACACCCTCGGGCTGAACCTCAGCACTTTTTTTTTTTTTTTTTTTTTTTCCCAGCACTTCTTTGTCCACCCAGTATGTGGAATTGAGCCCGTTCTGCGACCGGTCCGGCGCCATGGAAAAGATTTTGGCGAGGGTCCATTCAGTTAAAAAGGCCAGTTTTTGTTTAACCTCGCCATTGGTTGTCATGGGGGAGAGGGGCGGGCCGTGGTGGTGGGATGGGGCCTGGATCATCAATGTCGTTCACTGTGGGGTCCGGGGCCTGATCTTGCTTATCCTGCGAAGGCTCGCCTGGGGCCGTAGTGTCAATGTCTTGAGGCGACGGAGCTTCTTCTTCGGTTGCTGGGAGTGCTACCGCCATGTGCTGATGGGTGTTCAGTATAAGGTTATGCTGTTGTTGCTGCCTCTGTAGCTCCTGGTGCCAGAACCTCTCCAGCTGTTGTTGTTGCTGTTGTAAGATGAGTTGCTGTTGGTAACACAACTGTTGTTGCCACTGCAGATGGAGATGTTGTAAGATTTGGTGTTGTTGCAACACTCTCTGCTGGTGTTGCTGATGGTGGTATTGTGCCAACAGGGCCTGCAGAAGGAAGCGGAGTTGGTCCTCACACTCACCGTGTTGTTGTGCTTGGTGCTGCAATTGACAAGGCTCCCCTCCCCAAGTCGGTGGCTGGTGCGCAGTTCTGTTGCTCTTGCTGGTGAGGCCGCAGCTGATGCGATAACATGTGCTATTGAACCAGTGCCGGCATCTGTGGATGTTGCTGTGGCTGGGCTAGTTGTGTCTTCTCATCAGGGTGTTGTTGCGTCCCCAGTTGCACCTTCTGGTCTGCCGCCTCCTGGCACTGGAGTAGCATCTGCGGGTGCGGTTCCGGCTGTTGTTGCTGTTTTAGCTGTTGCGGCAAATGTTGCTCTGCTTGAGTGAGGTTCTGTTGCTCTTGCTGGTGAGGCCACAGCTGATGCAACAACATGTGTTGTTGAACCGATGCGGGCATCTGCAAGTGTTGCTGTGGTTGTGGCTGCATTTGCGGGTGCTGTTGTTGTTGCATGATTTGCAGTTGCACCACTTGTTGTTGTCATTGGTGGTGCTCTTGTTGTTGTTGATGCGTCAAGCGTTGCTGCTGCTGTTGTTGGGCCTCTGGCTGATACTGTTGCTCATGCCGTTCTTCTTGATGTTGTGGATGTTGCACGGGCGTGTGTTGTTGTTGTGGAATCAACATTTGTGCATCATGGGACTGCTGCTGGTGTTGGCGTGCATACATTTCTTGGTCAAGTCGGTGCTGCATTTGCAGATGTTGCTCTTGGGCTAGTTGTGTCTTCTCATCAGGGTGTTGTTGCGTCCCCAGTTGCGCTTTCTGGTCTGCCTCCTCCTGGCACTATAGTGGCATCTGCGGTTGCAGTTGTATTCGTCATTGTGCTTCATGGTTTTGCGTTTGCCGGCATGCCTCGTCAACTGGTGGTTGGGGTTGAGTTTGTTTAGTGGTTGACCCAGTGGCCATGGTGTCGTCCTCGTGTTCGAATTTCCTCAGGCGTGCCCGCACCGACTCCTGGGGTTTCGGAGGTGGCAGGAACTTAACCTCCCTCGTGATAATAGATTATGCTCAGGCACAAGCATCTACTCCTTATGGAATCTAGGTGTCAAGGTGAGGGTCTCATATTCATAAAATCAACCAAAACACATATGCTATATCCAAAACGTACAAAATTTCGTAAATATCAGAAAGAAAGAAGCAAAGGCTCCCATGCGGCGGCACAACTTTGTTTTGGAAAATATGGTCTTAAAAGTTGTGAAGCAGGTTGCATATCATATCAAGGAATTGAAGCGGCGCGTCGTGCCATCACCAAGAAATTTCGGAGAAATGGTAAAATATGGGTGAGAGTTTTTTCGGATATTCCTATTACCAGCAAACCTACAGAAGTAAGGATGGGAAAATGAAAAGGAAACCCTACAAGTTGGATTGCAGATTCATTCCCACTATGCACGAGGAAACACACGAGAGAGAGAGAGAGAGAGAGAGAGAGAGAGAGAGAGAGAGAGAGAGAGAGAGAGAGAGAGAGAGAGAGAGAGAGAGAGAGAGAGAG